AGACACCCTAACAGCTCTGACTCACTTTAATTTAAATTACTAAAACATACCTTACTTTACCATTTTGCAAATCATCTGAAGTGTATTGCACTGTGTTTTAAAACCATAAACATAACTTGTTAAAAATTTCTAGCTTAAAAATAATAAAATACAAATTGCTCCCAAGTTGTATTGAACCTAATTGAAGGAAAAATGTTGCTATTTCGTGTGTTTTTTTAATTTTTGTTTTGTTTATGTATGGTTGGATAGACCTTCAAATTTCAATTCTTGCAGCTGCCCAATGACAGGTTTGGTTATAAAATCGTAGCGTAGAAGGAAAGAACACTGTACCATGTGATGTCAGGTAATTCTCCAATTTAGTCAAGTAAAATCCTGGTATAATGACAAACAGTACATATCAAACTCAGATTAAGGTACAGAAACTGGGACAGTGCAGTACTTTACAGTTTCTGAGTGGGACAAAAAATAACGCTAAAAACTGGGATGATCTTAGTTTTATACTAATAATAGGACATCTGGTAAATTTAATCATGTTGCCTTTGAAATCAGTTCTTGAATTGTTGGTCTTACCTAGTGTGATTAATACTAGCCATTACTAACATTACTTGCTAGTATTGTCCAGCATTGCAATTTCTATTGCAACAAACTATGAGTATGAGTTCTGTGAAGGATGGCATGGTCATTCACAATAAATTACTCTTTTAAGTTCAAGTCTGAGACCACAAATCTTAACAGCTGGTCCACAGGTACTTGAGTTCAGGCTTCTCACTATGCAGCTGTTGGCTTCCATTATGACATTTATTTTAAACAAGTCAACAGCACAAAACTCCATTGGACTCAGAGTTGCTGCAGGGATTTGTGGAATTGCTAGCTGTTTCCAGTTGTTTTTTTACCATCTTTCTTATGAAAACAGAAATGAATTTGGAGATGTGGTTGGAAGTTTGTGGACTTTTGGTTTATGGGTCAGTCAGTGCTGATAGCCACTCTTAAAGTTGTCACTGCTAGCATCATATAGACTTAGCCATGTGAGACAAGCAGTCGTGAGTGGATATAATTAGTCAATAATATATAGTTTTGTGATGAATGTTTATTTTGATAATTATTTTTCTTATCAAGCTTAGTCAAAGAACTTAAAACATAATGCTTTTGAATATGTATAGCATTATAACAATATTTTTGTTTATTTTTTAGGATTAGCTATGACCATGTCAACAGCTACTACTTCCAGTGAACCATGTTTAGGAGAATCCAGTCATGTAGATATTGATGAGGGGTCTTTTGTTAATGTTGATGTAAGTCAGTCATGATCAGTTAAAATATTGAGAATTGCAGGTAATGATACAGGATTTTGGTAAAATAATTACACAATTATTTACACTTCAAAGTATTAAAATTTCTCAAAAATAGTGGGGTTTATAAAATTACACTAGAGTGCTGTTAATTTTTTTAAGCTTCCTAGTAATTGTGTTCTAAGTCTTACTAATAAATTTTTGCTTATACACTTCTTCGATATGATTTGAAGCTATTCATGTTTTAGAATAGAATTTGACCAATGATAGTTTTTCAAGTGCATTTGATCTTTAGGTGTCATTTTTGGAAACCATAGCATTATTAATATACTGTTATAAAAAAGCTAATTATATATTCTTCAATAAACTTCTGGAATTCTATGAATATTTTGCAAATATAGGCTTTTATTTAATGAATAAATAATAGAAAAATTTGGTGAGAATAAACTAAAAAAATTAAAGCTATGAAAATTCTTCATTTGGTTCAATTTTAGATCAGTCACATCATTGATTTTCAGCCGGTTGAAATTTCAACATCAGCTATTCTTCATTATTGTAAGAGGAAAATCTTAATTCCATACTTCAAACTTTTGGCCCTGGTAAGTTTATATGTTTGTGTTATTTGAAGTCAAAAATGTTAATTCCTACTACAGACATTCATGTTGTAAGCTTATCTAAAGTGTGATATCTGTTAACAGAACACCTGTTCTCTACATGAATTGCTTTTACAACTAATTGCAAAAATATTAGTGCACAAAGCACATTAATCCTATGTGCACTGGTGGGAGTCAAAGTGTGCAAGCCATGGCTCTTTACAGAGTGCCATTCATGGTATTATATATTGATGTCAGAGGTATCAATTATTTATTTTACCCTAAATAGCTGGTTTAGTGACAGTTTGTGATAGAGAAAAGTAGATACAGGATACAGGAATACTGAAAAAACTGTAGATATGCATTTCATAGATTCTTTACATGAACATCACCTTGCATTCTGACTTATAAAAGTCTGAATCAGATTGGTGTCATTAATTCACAGACACACGATTACAAATACCTTTGTAACTCGTAATATTTTGTATGCAACAGACTTACGAATTTTACTGAAAGCTTGCCACATTCAGAATTATTGTCAATACTAGTCAAACATGTTGAAATTTGACAGAATGTATATTTAGTTGTAGTATTTCACTCAATTCACATTCCTATCTAACCATACAAAATTGAATATTTTGCCACTAAGATAAGCTCTTTCTAAAAGTTGTTTTAAATCCATCATGGACAATGTTGATAATGTATGAACTAACTTCATTTTCAAAGGTTTCAATTAGTCATCCCTGTTTATGCCTTTGTTATCAGCAGAACTTTGTAACGCCCCTACTTCAAAAGTTTGAATTAATCATCCATGTTTATATAGCAAATTTATTCAAAGCTCAAATAAAATATGGACAAACATTCCTATTGCACAAGCATTTTCTTTAAAATATAGAAAAGTAAAATTTTTTATTAGTATAAAACAAAATAAACAATTCTTTGATACATTGTTTAGGCAGAGTATTCATGAAGAAACTTAGCTGAATGGACGGCAACTGCCTGTTGTAGAAACACAAGTGTAGAGGATAATATTTCACAAGTCTTTTGCATTTCATTTTCAGGCAGAAAACTTTTGACACATCGTCCTCTACACTTGTGTTTCTACAACAGGCAGTTGCCATCCATTCAACTAAGTTTCTTCATGAATACTCTTCCTAAACAATGTATCATTTTGATGGTACAGCATTACATTGAAATTATGATTTGAAAATATGGAAAGTTTTTTAAAATTTTAACAACAAATCCACACAGAAATTAATGTGCATCCATAAGATTCATTCTTAGTAGGCCTTACACCTATACATGCAATTCTTTTTTGTGTATTTCTTTTTCTCTTCTTTACATTCATATGCAATGGACGGACAAATATCCGTTTTCCCACATAATATTATTCTGCTAGTAGAACATGTTGGAATTCAACAAAATATATAGTGTTGTGGTATTTCATGTGATGGTCTAAACTTAAGGACTATTCATATTAGAAAAGTTCTTTACAAAACTTCCTCGTAAACAACATTTTTGATATTTGAACCTTCAGGAACATAAAATTTTTAACTGATCAAATGACTGCATCCAGGATAGATCTATGTAGAGACTCCTGTGAGAAAAAACTGGCTGAGCTAAGTGCAACCCCAGTGGACAGACATCCATTTTCCAAAATTATATTGTTGTAACACTCCTTCTCCAGTACAGGGTTGGTACAGTGGGCTGAACCTGTGCATATTCAATTAAGCTATGCAAATGTATTATTTATTAACCCTTTTCAGCCTGGTATTTCAGGATATTATTAAGGAAAATGATGACACTAAACTTTTATAAATTCTGTCCAGTCTCTCCTCACAAGTTCCCTAAATATATTAGTACTAAAGCATTTGTTTTGATGAAAGTGTTTTTAATGTTTATGTTGGATAACATAATAAAAAAAAAAATCCAAACTGCTACTTCACAATTTTCAATTTTGCCTACCCTCATTGTTATTATTTTGGGGGAGTAAAAATAGTTAAGCTTCTTAACTACATAGATAAAAACATGTAAAAAAAGCCATAAACCTGTAGTCTTTGTACATGACTGTTGTTTATTTCCAGCTTAGATAATTTGAAAAGATTGAATCTGTGACGTTGGTGGTGGCAAAAACTAAAATTCAACTGAATCTTATTTTGTTTTACAACATTCCTGCTTCAAAAGCAAATAAAATAATAAATATATCATCTGAAAGATGGGATTATTTTCTTTCATAATTTATTTGTCAGAGTCCTTTTATCCTCCTTATTCAGATTATTTTCTAAATTTTTAGTTATTACATCACAGACTTTTCTTGATAGCCAACCTTCAAATAATCTTAATTATATCATTGCTTTGTATTTTTTCTTTGCTACTTAAAGGCCATAAGTGAATTTTATTGGTTTCCCTGCATGTTTGTTTATTTTGTTAAAATTCTTAGTTTTGGCAGCTTTTTAACCTTTTACAAAAACTCCTGCTTTTAATTTATTGAAACCATAGTGTTACAGTGGACTTTGTCTAAGCACGAGATTAGTGGGATGGTGTTTTTGAAGGAGCTATACATAATTTCTAAAAGGAGTGTAGGAATAACTTTTACCAAAAGGATGTAGGAAATTAAGTATTTTTGTGTCAGAAAATCTAATTTAAATTTAAAAACATTTAATAATCTCATGTTTTATGTTTCAGATACAATTTTTTGTGTGTGCCATTAAGCTAGAAAGAGTTAAATATGCATTACCTATTTCTTTATATTTGTTTTAATTTTGATTGTGAAAATATTTTTACCAAAATTTAATCTGCTGATCCTAACAACAGATATTTAACCTTTTCATCATATTCTTTGTGATTTTTGACTTTGAGAAAGTAAATCTGATTATGATTAAGGATTAGAAAAAGTAAAGATTTGATTTAAAAAAAACATGAACTTCATAAATAAGAGATTGTTAAATTTTAAAAGCAAAAGCTCTAAAGGTGATTTAAACATATGGTTTTATAGAAAGGATTAGAAAATTTAAGGAAGAACATTATTATTAGAAAAAACTCTTTCTTTCTAAAATCCAGTATATTGTGTGGATTACAAAACAAAAAGTTTTTCCTGTTTTTTTTTGTAACTTTTGCAGAAGTTATGGTATAAGCTTTAGCTAATTCATTGAGGTGTAAAATCTGGAGCAATAACTGTGTCAGACAAAAGGTTGCTCTAAAGTGGTGTTTTTTGTATACCTATGTAATGTAATGGACAAATTACAAATGAATTATGTAATGGACAAATTAAGAGGAATGTGAAAATAAACATCTATCACTCAGCACAATTCTTATTATGAACATTAGGCTTGTTGGTTTTCAATGCTTAATAGCTTTTGGTATTTAATACTATAGCTGTAGGGCTTTATTTTTATCATTATCAAGTCTATTATGAAACTTATTATGAATGTTAAAAAATTCTTTATATGGAAAGCTAATGATTTTCTATATGTTTATTGTAAAAAAAGTCTTGTAACTACTTGTTTAATACATTGTATAACTTGTTCAAATTATTTGGTAAATCAACTCACAAGTTGTTCCTTTTTTTTTATGTCAAAAGATAAGACTAGCAAGGATGATTATATTGTGTTTAAAACTTGAGTATAAATGTTTCAGCTCGGATGGCGACCACTTTATTATCCAGCAACTCCACAAGATGTAGGCATGTGTGTAAAAGTCTTCAACACTGGATATACAATCACAGTGGTTTTACTGATATTAGTTGGTTATGTCCTACAGTATGCTGCATGTTTTAGAAGAGATGGTTTTGGTTCTTATTCAAAGGTAAGTTACTTAAAGAGGTATTGAAAGGACATTTGGAAGTATTTATCTGCACATTGCTATTTAGTGTTTAAGTAATGCTGGGAATTAGGTGCATTAATTTAAATAAAATAGGTTAGCTTGAAGGTTTTACTCTTACATAACAGAAAATGATTTGTCATTTACAACTTGAAATTGCACATTATAAGTATCCGTGTAATACATGAACATAATGAAAATGATTTGTCATGTGTATACAACTTGAAATTTCACCTTATAAGTATCCGTGTAATACATGAACATAATGAAAATGATTTGTCATGTGTATACAACTTGAAATTGCACCTGAAAAGTATCTGTGTAATACATGAACATAATGAAAATGATTTGTCATGTGTATATAACTGGAAATTGCAATTTAGAAGTATCCGTGTAATACATGAACATAATGAAAATGATTTGTCATGTGTATACAACTTGAAATTGCACCTTATAAGTATCCGTGTAATACATAAACATAATGAAAATGATTTGTCATGTGTATATAACTGGAAATTGCAATTTATAAGTATCCGTTGGAGTACATAAACATAATGAAAATGATTTGTCATGTGTATACAACTTGAAATTGCAACTTATAAGTGTCAGTGTAGTACATGAATATAATGAAAATGAAGTTCTCAAAGGTAGTTATTTGGCTTGAATTACTCTATGGATATCCAAGTTCTTATTTTTATACCTTTACAGGTGGAAGCAGAGTTCAAATTGACATCTGTATCACCATCATCATTGTTTTATGATCAATATAGTTTGGAGGCTAACATGAGCTTCTACAATCATTTGTCTTTTCCAGGAGAATCGGAGATACAAGAGTATTGTAATGATAATGTGGTCAGTGTTTACCTTTTACCAGCCTTTTTACATTTCGTCTCATACATGTATGTCCTTTATCAGATGAGAGTGCCAGAAAGAGAACAGCTGGAACACCTTTTGGAAAGAGTTAGTGATGATTTCTCCTGATTAGGCAATAATTTGAAATTACAATATTAATATGTATATGAAATCATATTGCATAAAATGTTCTACATGTGGAACCACAACATTATTTGATTTATGGGTTGGTACAATATTCTTAAAAAAAGTGAAATTACAATTTTTTTTCTATTTTTAAAATAATGCATTGAACCTCCAAAGGTGAAGCTAATATCTAATTTTTCAGTTTTTGATCATAATTTCAAAAAAAGAAATTTGTTCAAGGTATTCTTCAGTTGAACTATCATCTACACTATGTTGGAAATTCCTTAAGTTAAATTATCAGAACATTAGCCTCACATCAAGCTTAGAAAAGTAAACTAAATGCACCCATCATGCCTTCTTTATTAAATCTATATCTGTTGCCACATGAGTAAATGGATTCATAAAGGTAAATTTGTAAATTTATGTGTTTTGAGTAAAGAAATGAATGAGGACTGCTAGGTTGGAACAAAAACAAATAAAAGAAGAGAGTAAAAGTGTGTTCTTCAACCAATTTCAAAAGAGGATAATACTAAGGTTAATGAATATATTTATTCACAGGTATTCTTACAAGCCACAGTTACCCATGCTTGGCATGTGGCACAGAGAAAACTTATTCGAACGCTGAGGTATTTGTCCTTTAACTGAGAACATACAGGCACTGGTAGTCTCTATATTATTATTTTTTGCTGTGCAACTTAGACATTTTGGTACTTTAAGAAAAAAGAAGTACCAAAATGTCTAAGTCATATTTTTACATATTTTTGTTGTAATAAATAAGTTAATTCTGTTGCATTTACATGATATTTTATTAATTTCTGTAAGAATATTGGACATTGACTGGAATTTAAGCTGTAGTCTTTTAAGAACAAACATTTATAGGTAATTATTGTTGTATTGATTGCAAAAATGCCAATCATTTTAAAATTATAGGCCTAAAGTTAGAACTGAAAGTATGTTATTTTCTACATCTTTAAGTTTATCTTTAAAATAAAATTGTAGTGAATAGTACAATGTCTTGGTTTTCAGGATGGTTATGTTTTTGTGAAATTGAAAATAGGTGTCCTAATTTAAAGGACTATTATTTTTTGGTAAGAAAACTCCTAATGAAACCTTAAGAAAGGCTGGTAATATTCTTAAAGGTGCAAGACACACACACATAGAAATAATATTGAACTTTAAAGGCAGTTTTGAAGTACATAGTATTTGCCATACAACTTTTCAAGTTTGCTAAGATATACAATGTGCCATATTATAAATAGCATATTAAATAAAGCTATGGTTAACATATTAATCTCAGATCTGAAATTATATTTTTGCATAATTTAAAATACAACAGATCCTTTACTTGCTTTGAGAAAATGTCATAAACTATAATACTTCCTTTTCTGCATTTCAATCAAGAACTTTTCTAGGAATGGGTGTCTTTTGGGCTTTAGTGTCGGTTTCTCCACAGATTCTTCATCTGATAGCTGGTGTAAAGATTAGTTTCACATGGATGGATCCTCAGTAAGATGCTGAAATTCTTATGTTTGGAAGCACTTGATTATGAAACTAAATTCATTTTATTTTATAAAAAAGTTATTACAGAGAACATACAGGCAGTCATTTGTACATATTTTATTAGAAAAAACGTGTGTGGTTTATGTGTAAGGAATATTCAATCAAGGTGTCAGAAAATGTCTGTAATGACAAATAACAAGTTTGTAAAAACACATTAAAAGTGTATGCTAGAGCTCTGTCACATTTTAGATCGTCTTGAATTGTTTACATTTTTTTTACCAACTTTTATGGTGGTTACATACATAGATATCTGCATGTTTATCAGTTTCAGTTTAGTTACATGTATATGTCATATAATTTATGCAATTTATTGTTTGCTGTTTATTTTGAAAAAGCATAGAAACTTTTTGCATGTAGCTTAAGCATAGAATAATTTTTCTCTCCAGCTCTTACACTCTGCGTATTGTATTAATTACCCTGCTGATGGTCACCTTGATGTGGAATGATATTATTTGTGTTGCTATAGCAACAAGCTATTCAATCCATTGTCAGTTGATAATTTCTTACTTAGAAAATATTGACCATGCTGTTCGAGAAAAGAGAGTCAGCTTTCTGGAATTTTACAAGGTGAGTGGTTTTAAGCAACAGAGTAAAATAACTTTTAAACTTTTTTTTTTTGTTAGTTTATAAATAATGAGATTAAAAAAAAAATTAGCCATTTGTGATTAATAAAGTCAAATCTTCACATTATCATTCTACCATTGTAACTATTTCATGCTTAAAAGCATTTCTTTTAGCATTGTGATATCATTTAGTTTTATATGAACTTCATCTGCTCTATTTTTAGGCTGCCATTGTTTTTTGTAAATAAGGAAAATGTATTGCAAACCTAATAATATTTTTAAATAGGAAATAATGGAAGCAAGAAAATTCATCAGTTACTTGAATGAAGATCAAGCTGTTGGAGTGTCCCTTGTAATACTAAATTATGGTTGTAAAACCACTACAGGTAACTTTCATATCACTGTATATTCATACATCTCATTAGAATTAATATGTGAGAGTAGTAGTTGCCAAACTACCACAGGTAAACTTCAGATCACTGTGTATTCACACATCTATGTGTAAGAATTAATATGAGAGAATAGTAGTTATCAAGTCACCACAGATAGCATTATTATCACTATTTATTGACTCATCTCTGTGTTAGGATTAATTAGAGAGAAGAGTAGTTATCAAATCACTGTAGGCAATTGTTATATTATATTGTGTATTCTTACATCTTTGTATGAGAACTAATATATGAAAACAATAATTTCCGACAAGGTACATTACATTCTCTCATACGTAGCTATTCTTGTTCAGTGCTGCCCTCTATTAGCAAAATGGTTTTTGCATGCCACAAGCCTTTCAATCCCACATACCCCTTGGTTCACATAGTTTAACTGAATCTCACATGCAAATTATCATGCCACAAACCTCCACTAATAGATGTGCCCCACACTTGTGACTCATGTGGCTTTCTCTATGCTATTTTATCTAACTATCACTTCTTGTTTGGTAGTGCTTGTGTTCGGACGTTTTATTTAGTACTCTCTTCGAATTTTAAATTTTCATATCAATTATTTTTCAAGTTTCCTTTTTATTTTACCTAGTTTTAACTTGTACATCATTCAGTTATGGTATTAGATAATTTTCTACCCAGTTATGGAACTTAGTTATTTTTCCATGCTTTTCTTTCTTTACTGACTCAGTTGTGTTTGGTTTTCATTTGCATTATGAATTCTGAAGTGCAAGTTAGTACATCGAAGGTTGTACCTTCTACCAGCACATTTACTCAGGCTTCAGGTGGGGGGGAACTTGACTTTGGAATTATCATCAATTATTCGTTGAGAGATTGATCATTATTTGAGCCAATCTTCTTCTCCTGATGTTACCCAACTTCCACCTGGATAAGCCAAACCTGTTTGGGATGACAAAGAATTTGACAGCCTTTTTTCTCCACCTGAATTTGCCATGTCTTCTCAAGCTCCTATTGTGGGTTCCATTAGAACTAATATGGCTTTTTTGGAAATAATTTCCAAGGTATGTTCTGTTTTATCCCTCTCCCGATTTCCTTTAATCCTTCCTTGTTGCATTATACTCCTTCCTCTTAGTATTTTGTGTTTCCACCATCACCTGATATTGAGATTCATGCTGAGCATTTTGTATCTCAGTTACATGATGGTGCTGGCATGCCTCGCCCACTGTGGGCTTTGGATTAGTGTGCTTTAGCCTACCATCAGGCTGATTTTCCATACCTTGATTATCAGCAACTGGAATCCATTTTACCCATTTGGGGAGTGGCCTCTGATTGTACTTTTCTTTAGTCCCAAGCCCAATTTTCTCACTTTTGTCTTACCCTCACACCTATATTATGGTACTTGTCCACCATACACCTCCTCTCTGAGGCAATTGACTGAGATCCTGAGGGTTTTTTGGGGGATACATTTGCCCTAATTGCATCCTTGTTGACATGTTTGTTGACTTCAGCTCTTTCTTTACACATGTGGTTTCTCTGTTGTTGGGAACTTTTTGTCCCACTTTCATTTGCTATCTCCTCATTCTAGGGACTTATGCCTGTCCCCTTTTCTCCATCGGCCAATGTTTGGAGATCTTCCAGTGACTTTGGAATCCTGAGTGGAATCTGTGAGACAACAATCGATTCTTTCCTTGTTGGTTGATCGTTTGTCCAGCATAGAGCCTTTGACCTGGCTGTAGATGCATTCAGTCAAGATTGAACAGAAAAATTCCTTTATGGGTATCCTTCTATCTGACTCCTTCCCAGGGTGATTTCTATCATCCACTCCGTGTCAAGTCCTTCTGATTGCCAGCACAGCTGTGGTTTCCATGGCCGCTCCAGATCCAATCTGTTCCAATGTTGCCTCTTTAAAGAACTCCATTTCTTCTACAGCAACCTTGGTCCTAGGTAGTTTATCCCACCATTCCTATCCTTCTTCTTCATGCCTGGTTTTATCCAGACCTTGGTGAGGAGATCTAGTTTATCATGGCGAGTAGCTTCTTTGTTGGCACATTCCATTCAACCATCTTCCATGGAGGTTTATCAATATAAGAGGAACGTTTTCTGCCATTGGTATCTGAGACGTGGGTTCACACCTACTCCTCTTGCTGCTCCTCTTATTATGGATTTCCTTACTTGGTTATTTGATCAGGGATCTTTGGTCTCCTCGATCATGGGTTATCAGGTGGCTTTATCCCACAATTTTCGTTTTTCCCAGTACCATAAAGTTTTTGCTCCCCATGCCTTATCACTCTTATTACGTTCCTTCCAAATTAGTCGACCTCAATGGCATGGGGGCCCTTCCAGATTAGGATGTCAATGTGGTGCTTCACTGCCTTACTTTACCTTCATTTGAACCTTTGTCTTGTTTCATTTATCTCTCAAGGCATATTTCCTCCTCCTTTTGGCCACTAGGCATTGTTGGTTGGATTTGTTTGCCATTGATGTTTCATGTACTTTATACCATTCCTTTTAGATTCTCCTTTACCCATATCAATCTTTCCTTTCCAAAACATTGGTGGCTGAGGAGGGTAATTCTTCCTTCTCACCAGTTTCTCTTCTTTCCATTTCCCACCTCTCTTCCAGGTCAGATCCTGATAGACTTGTGTCCATTATATGATCTTTGTTTTTATATCACCTGCTTGGCTTCCTTTTGTTATAACTGTTCCTACCTATTCATCCCTTGGCAAGTATCCTCTGTTCGTGATCTCTTTCCTTTCACCCTTACTACTTGGGTTTGGCTTTTAATTCATTTTGGCTTATTCTTCCTTGTCTCCTTTATCCCATCAATTATTCCAGGTATCTTCCCATCAGATTAGGCATCTTACTTTTTCTCTGGTGTCTCATCTATATCGTCCTTTGGAGGAAATTCTTCAAGTGGGCATGTTGACCACTCTGCATACTTTCATCTCTCACTATCTGTGTCTTATTGTTTCTTCCTTGTTAGGTTATCATCATCCACCTATTGCTATTCTTCAGACTTCGGTGTGAAGAATAACTGAGAAAGTTTTCTTTCTTTCATTATATACATTTTTCAGGGGCCTGTTCCATGTTTGGATTTGGGTCCTGCTCTGTGGTGAGTGGTGCCTGTCCAGGTATACCTTAATCACTTAGAATTGTACTCAAATCTTCACTTTAAGGCCATGTTGACTTCACTTTCTTAATTTCCATGGCCACTAAATGCACAATGTTCTTTACTATTACATATGGTAGAGGTTGGGTGTTCCATAAGATTGCTCGTAGGTTATTCTTCATGATATCTTTGCTTCATAAATGCCCTCCAGTGACACAGAGGTATGTCTGTGGACTTACAATGCTAGAAACCTGGTTTCGATACCCATAGTTGGCAGAGCACAGATAGTCCATTGTGTAGCCTTGTGCTTAACTACAAACAATTGGTTTATAAATATGCCCATTCTGGGCTGTACTGGCCCATGGACTTCATAAGTAAAGCAGATGGGAATTGCTTCCTATCCCTGCCATTCCTTAGATTGAATAAATTAGGTTTGGTCTGCTTTTCAAAATAGGGTTTCATGGTTACCCATTGCATTGTCTCCAGTGTGAACATTCCTCCAGACTCTTCACCACATTTTTCTCCCCTCATTACTTCCAGTGGAGTAAGAGAGTCCTTACCACTTTTCAGTTCCAAGCTGCTGGGGTGGTGGATCATGGAGGTATCTCCTGAATGAGAGATATGCAATATAATTAATAATGACTCCATTCAGCTGAGAGTAGGGAGATGGTGTTTGCTAGTGTAGTGGATAAATATCCTCCAAAAAGATGCTCCATCTCTGTATGGGCTTAACTCATCCTAACCCCACATGGAAGTTGGTTCCTGGCATTTGAGTTTTGGATTTAGAGCTGGACCAATCATCCTATTGCCCACACTCATGTTGTAATGATTGGGATCCCTCATCCTACCTATGCATGGATGTCAGTTTCTAGCAGTTGAGTTTTGGATTTAGAGCAAAACCAATTAACATGATGTACTCACACATGTGGTGTGCTGCCATATATGCAGTTCACTCCTTCGATTGTGATCCCTCTTACCCCTGCATGGAAGTTGATTTCCAGCAGTTGAGTTTTGGATTCAGAGCTGAACCAATCACCATAAGTTCTCACATGTGTTCAGGGTGTGCCTGGTACTTCACTCGTTTTGTCTCGGGTGCACTGCCCTGGTGTTGTAGGTGATGGTGGGTGCACTTGTTGGTTGCTCCACTTCTTCTTCTTGTGCTAACCCTTAATGTCTTTATGTCGAGGATGTTTCAGGTGGTCCAATCTGTTTGATTTGAGTGGGATATATTTGTATTTCACTCTGGTCACATGCTCTGTTCCCTGACCGGTGGTGGGATTTCTCCCTCTGGTCGGCTGAACTTGAGTTGAAGATGGTATGATCCTCTTTCCTACCCCACATGGATGTCGGTTTGTGACGAGTAGTTTTGGATTGACTTACTGATGGTATGATCCTTATTCTACCTCTGAATGGTTGTCGGTTCCCAGCGGTCAAGTTTTGGACATAGTTGACTTGCTGTGTACGGCCTGTCATGCCCTAGCCACTCAACACCTTGGGGCACATCCCTTATTTTACCCACATTCTGTTCATCAGGAAGATTTATATTATAATTAGGATCAGTGTCCAACCATTTTCTTTACCCATTGGAAGGTGCTCCTCAGAATTTTTTGCCCTGATCTGTTGCATCTTTTCTACATCTTGGCGAAGAGTATACCTGGTTCAGAAGTGGTGCAGTCTCCCACGTATAATCCTCTTATTAGAGGGTTCCCTCATGGAGGTGTCTTTCGGATGCTTTTGAAGAATGCTTCTACTTTCTCCCTTGCACCAGTCCCTCCACCTATTCCTAGCAATGTATGTGAATGGAAGTAAGGGATCTTGTAAGAAGTTATAATTTTCCTACACTGAAAATATATTTGTGACAAGTACTTACATATGCTCACACTTCCAACCCTTCTTATCTACTGCCTACTCGTGCTTAGGTTTCTGCCTAAACTCGAAGATTTAGATAGAATAGCATAGAGAGAGAGTCACATGAGTCATGTGTGTGGGATGCATCTATTGGTGGAGACTTGTTGCATGATTATTTGCATGTGAGATTCAGTTAAACCATGTCAACTGAGGGGTACGTGGGAGTGAAAGGCTTATGGCATGTGAAAAAAAATTGGTAAAGAGAGGGCAGCACTGAACAATAATAGCTATGTTTGTGAGCAGAAGTAAATACTTGTCAGAAATATATTTTCAGTGCAGGAAAATTATAACTTTCAAACCATTGCAGGCAACTTTCATATCACACATGTCACTATCTTTGTATTAGAAGTAATTTGAGAAAATATTAGTTGTGAAACTACTGCAGGTAACTTCCATATCATATCTATATTTGTGTAAAAACTAACTTGACAGAACTAAAATTGTCCAGCTTCATCAGAAAAAATTTCATGACACGTTATGTACTCACTTACTTGTCTTAATTTTTTGTTTAAGTACTGAGATGTTTGTGAAATATGGTTGTTTAACAACTATTAGTAATATATATCATAGTACATATTTTTCTGTGTGTGAGTAAATCTTTGTGATTGTTAAATATTTTTTATGGAAAAAAATTGTACTTAAAGTAGTGTTAAGAGGATGCACTATTTATCATTAATAAGAGAAAAAGTAAATGTGAAATATGATAATTTTTCAGCAGTTTATGGGTTTCTAAGTGGTACCAGCAGTTACACCAGTGATGTCTTCATTCTTTTATCAGTTTCTGTTTCTGTGTTTTTGTGGATCATTCTAGTGGCCTTTCCAGTTGTACAGGTAAGTTGGTTTATATTAATATAAACAACTGTGTTGATGGAGGATTAATGATAACATAACTGATAGTATGCGTTCCATTTACTATTAAATAATAAGACTATAACCAAGGCTAACAGACTTAATTCACTGAGTAATCAAATGAAGATATTATAAGAAATATTAGTCTGTTTTACTATATCCCTTGAAAATTTAAGATAGAAAATTTGTTGACAATATTTATCAGTGAATTCACCAAATTATGACATATTTCTCTTATTTTCTAACTTTGCATAATGCCACTGTTTGTCACATTTGACATCATTCTATTTATAAGGATCATCTTTGAGTGAGCAACTAACAGCCATTTGCTAAAAACCTGAAAAATAGTTTGTTTATTGTCTCAAGCAATTTCCATTCTGTATATTTTGTTCATACATCAAGTAAATGCTAAAATAAACGTCAATGAATGGATAAACAAAAACAAGTAGGAAAATTAAGATTTCTAGATTTTGGTTTTCTCCAAGAAAAATGGATCATTTCTAACATAAACTTTTATGAGTCAACATAATATTTATAGATGTTTTTGCTGAGCATAACCTTGCATTATATAAATAAAAAAAGTTTACATTTATTTAGCGACTTTAGTTAATTTTTCTTATAATCATGTGTGTGTTATAGGCGGCCCGTTTAACGAGTTCTTGTTGGGCACTTAAAAAACTTGGACATGAGATATGGATTCGTCCATTTGGATACCAAGACACAATTCAGGAAGATTTAGATTCAGTACTTCTCTTCACTACTTCATTACAAATGCGGGTATGAATATTAAGTTTTAAAAATTTTATTAAAGATGCTATATGGTAGAAGTTAATACATATTGTTATAAGAGTAGTTTCTGGATGTTTAAAAATAAAGAAATATAGGTGAAAAAACAAAGTGTAATTTTAAATATTTAAAAAATTCCCAGTAATAAGGCAAAAGATTGAAAAATTTAAAACACAAAAAACATTTAAGGAAACTAATAATTCACATTTGGGTGTTATAAATTCATCAAAGGTATGTTGCTAAAAGCAACCACAAAAAATAAAACAGTTGTAAGAAAAAAAATAGATATTTTTACTAAAAATAGTCAAAGTTAAACATTGAACAAGGAGCATAGTTTTTTAACTTGTAGAGACATTTTTTCAGAGACAGGGAAAGAGATGGGTGAACCCAGTTTGTATAGGAACTTTTCCTGAGCATGCACTGTACTAACATGAAAGAGATTATTTACATAAGGTGTGCTGCTTCTACTTGTTTGCTACTGAAAAAGCTTTCTGTGTTTACCAAAGTCATTTATCGTGTTCAATTTATTAAGTTTAGTGATTGTTTATTGTCTTTATATATTACCAATTTATGTTATCTTTATTTGGTTATTGGTGTTTGTTTTATTATTGACTAAAAACATAATACCTATGAATAATGCTTGTTACAACTTGCTGTAAGTGTAGTATCTTTTTAGCTTCAACATATAAAATGTATGTGAACAGGTACTTGAGTTGATGCCACATTGAGTTATAAAGATTGAATTAAAGAAATAAAAATGCTGAGAAATCGATTAAAACATTGTAGTAAATCCTATTTAGGCTTCTAGTCCAATTTTTGGAAGTTAATGTACAAGTATGTGCAGAAATGTTTGCATTTTTGTCAAGATGAAAATAAAAAAAATGTTTTAAATTTCTATAGTATACATTTAGAAAGTAATTGAGGATAATACAGATATAAAAGGGAGTTTTTCTTGCATGAAGAGAGGTAATTTAGTTTTGAAAAGTTATATTTATTTGTCTATATAATATAGTTAGTTAATGATAGATTTGTTCTGAAATATGTAATACATAATTTATGGAATTCAGATTAAACTTTTTTTTTGTTACTTGTATATTTTGGCCTTCAAATTTTAACATATATATAGGATATTTTATTTGTTTATTTCACAGGCAAAACTTTTTAGAACACCTGTTTATGGATCTTCTCTCATTCTAGGTCTGTCAATTTTGTTTTTTGGATTTTTACTGTTAGCCCAGCTAAATATAATTCACTTCAGGAACATTTTTGAAATCTGAATTTGTTACAGTATCACTCACAAAATCTTAAACTCTGTGACACAAAGAACTTAAAAACAAATTACTGTGTGTGTGTATTTCAAAAAGTTTGTATTAATGTTCATGGAAGTAAAGTATAAATATCTAACTTCAGAATAGTTTTATATAACTCTGCTACTTCAGTAAGATAAAAAAAAATGCATCAATAATTTCAAAGATATTAGAAGAGTTCAAATTACACAGAAGGACACATAAAATAGTTTATATTTATCATTATTCATAAATTTCACTTTAGAAGTAAAAAGCATATAATTACAGTTGACTTTGGCATGTTGACATTTAAAATGAAATAATCCTGTGGTTAAACATAATCTTTTTTTAGATACAGATATACAATTAAACTTTAATAATAAGGTTGTTTAGAGAACTAAGACTTTAAAAATTATTACTGATATTACTTAAAAATGGTTGAATATCTGTGGTATAAAAAGAAATTTTGATTTGCATCTTCTTATAACTTTTTCTTGTGATGTCTGACCAAGTTCTCAGTAGTTATGTATACTTGATATATTATTTCTTAAGATGTATTTCTTACATAGGTGAGTCTTAAGTATTGTTCTTAGATCAAAAAGTCTGAAGAGACATAGGTTTTTGATTGTTTATGTTTGTTTTTAATCATTTACTGTTATAATTATTGGCACAAATGACTTAAATACAACAGAACATTTCAATGCCAAATTCCTGAAGGCAGTACCTTTCCAATAATCAAAGTTTTTCATTAAACACATGAAAATTATATAATTTATAAGTTGGAGATTGCCATGCCAAGAATGAATAGAAATAGTTATTTGCTTACAAGCATGTAGTATGTTTCAGAATAATTAGTGTCATCAATTCATTAATAATTCTTAAGCATATGTTTCAAAGACCTTATTCTGTTTGGAGTGATGGAGTCATCAATCTACCAATACCAAAAGAACACAGATTGAATATGAGAAAAAAATTTTTTTATTTAGATAATTATGAATGAGACATACATTTCTTTCCCAAACAGTATATACAAGTATTTGAAAATAATATCTTTAGACCAAACAGCAAGCAGTTACGTTTAGTTTATTATACATTTACAGACTTTATTCTACTAAAATATTGCAAAATACAAAGGTCTAGCATAATTTTATTTCATGACTTGTGTGGAGATACAGGCAGAGATTAAAAGTGATTCTATTGAAAATTTATATATTTATTGTTGATAGTTTTTGAATAAATGTAGTGATATATTGTTATTTGAATAATTTTTTAACATAATTTTCTATTTGTCAGAAGTGTATGTATAACATATGTTTTTGTAAGTGTGCTGAGAAAAAAATTCAAATTATTATATGCAAAATGGTATCAGAATGACTTACTATGAGGTTTTCTTTTTATTCTTCACTAAAGTATCTCTACTTAATATTTAACAATGTAAAAACTTATTATTGATTTATTTTGTGCCTTTGATACATATAGAGTTTGCATATATTTAACGTTTTTAGCGTTCCAAAGTTTTTGTACAACTAACTATATTGTTTGCCATTACTGAGGCCAATGGAAAAACATATTTATATATTTATATATATTTACTTATTTTTGTGAACTCTTTGTTTATAACATTGTTTTTTGTGTTCACTAGTCTTATTACTAAGAAAAAGTTATAAATTTTACTGAAGTAGAAAATAAAAGGTTTTGGTTTTTATAACCATATAGTAATTGTTATTTTTAACTTTTCACTGAATTTGCTATTTATTTATGTAGTCTGTCTTGATCTTTTTTCCACTATTTCATAGTTTCCATTAAAGTTTCAACAATGCTTCAAACATGTGTCATCTTGAAATTCAGTATGGATTTTATTTTAAGTTTTCTCAAAATAATCCCAATTCAGACACCTTTTAAACGCACAAAAATTATATAATTTTTAAGATGGGGCTTGCCATACCAAGAATGAATATAAAGAGTTATTTGCTCACAAGCATGTAGTATGTTTTACACTAATTATTGTTACCACTTCATAAATTTTTGAATGTTGCCTAATTCACTTTTTATATATGGTTTAAATTGTTTTCTAACCTGTGGAGAAAGTTCTACACATTACACAGGAGACAAGTTTTTTTATTGCAATAAGAATTGCAGAAAATTTTGTTAAATACAACAGTCTAATATAAGTAAAACCATACATGTTATTGGCTATTAATTCATGTATGTTTTTATAGAATGTAATGGAGACTAGAGAATAAAAGGTATTTAGTTTTTTGACAGTTAATCATCACTGTAGCTATGTTGTTGGTGAGATGATGTCATTGTTTCATAATTTTTTGTTGGACTGTTGTTACTAACTGAAAGGATTAGTGCAAGGCTAAGGAAAATACTCTTTATTTGAGTACTTTAGAAAATGTCCAGAGATGCTTCTCTGCAAGTTCTTCTGTCTTTTTTGAGGGTTACTGATTATTTTCTAAATATCAGGTAGCGAAGAATTGAGAGGAGGGCATTCAGAATGTGCTTAAATCGTTGAAACACTTCATCAGCTTTTATTATCAAGTGAGATACATAGTTTCTCATCTTATGCACAGTGGTGTGGGGGGATGGAAAAACAAGTTTAACACACAAAATACTCCAAGTTGAAGACCAAGGGGAAAATAATTAAGCATACAAACATAATATAGTATTACCTAGTGAAAAATCAAAATAAGTAAAGATTTATTATTGTCAGTTTTTTTAAACTATTAAATTGATATTATACAACCAAAATAATAATGGTGGTTAATATGTATTCAGAGCTACAGTATTGATTGTTTATGAATTATAAAGGGAGACTGTTCCAAAGGATCATACTGTTACAGCTTATATTTTTTAATCTAGACCTTTCTATAAATTTGTATTATTGCTTAACCAGAAGGAAGATTGATGTAATGTCATAATTGTGGCCTTAATGACCTGGAACTTTATCTAAACTTAAGGAAACAATTTCAACTATATTCAATGGAAACTATGAAATAGTGGAAAGAAGATAAAGAAAGACTTAAATGAGTTGCAGTAACAGACAAAATGACTATATCTTGCACTAATTAAGCATTCACTAACTCAATAATTTATTCTAGCTTAATTCACTTTTTGTATATGGTTTAAATTGTTTTTTTAAGTGTGGAGAAAGTTCTACATATTAAAGCCACACCCATTACATCAAACTTCCTTTCAGTCAAACAACAATACAACTTTCTATAAACTTTTAAATTAGAAATAGAAGATATAATGCTACCCCCTCCCTGGATTTTGAATTTTTTGAACAGTCCTGTTTCACCAAAAAAAACAAAACAGTAGTACATTAAACTTAAACTTCCACAGTTAGCAGGAATGAAACTCGTGGCAAATAACATTAATGCTCATAAATCTAAATATTACACTAATGAAATCAATACTGAACATATGAAACTTAAAATACAGTCACTATATTAGTTAACAAAGGAAAATCTTATTTCTTTTGCTTATTTATTGTTCCTAAACTGTTCAGGCTCTAAATCTTTTTGGCAATTTTCTTTTCCATGGCTTTTGATACAAAATGAAATGACCTCTTGTTATTTATGATCATTTATCACTGAAAGGATTTTTTTTTAGGTAGATGGTCTTGGGAATCCACTAGTGATATATTGGAAGTAATCTTGACAGGAACTTGGAGCTCTTCAGCAGGTTGATCTACCTCTGGCAAAGTTTTAATGGAAGATAACCATTTGATCAATTTCTTCTCTTATCAACACGCTTCCAAAGATTATCACAGTGTATGACCTTTGGCTTAGTCTGTCTGTCTGTCCTTCTGTATTCTATAAACTGCATCATTGATTGTTTGGACTGCAGCATAGTGCCCTTTCCATAATTTACTTAAACCTGGAGATAGTCCTCTCTTTTAGCATGGATTATACAGCAATGTCGTGCCACCATGATGAAATCCAGTCTTTTGAACATTTCCACAAATCACTTATGATAGTGTGTTGCCTCTAGCCTCATGTATCACCATTTGTTAACTCGTGAGTAGAAGTTGAAGATATTGATCCCATATTCTCTTATGACTGGTTGATTTTCAAATGTTGGTTGTATCTCTCCACCATTCCATCATAAGAGGGAACAAGAACTGTTGTTCTGGTCTTTTTGATTTCTAAGATTGAACACACCTCTGTAAATGAGACTGGTTCAAAGTTTTATCCCTGATCTGAATAAAGTTCCATTGGCACCCTAAATCTTGAAACAGGTTTATTCACAAGCTTCCTTGCTAGAGTTTTTGCATCCAGGTTAGTAACAGCGTATGGTTTTGGCCATTTTGTGAAGTGGTCCATCACCACTAAGATATATTTATTCCCACTAATGCTCTATGGTAGATGATTAAGCACATGCACAGCAACTCTCAGTTGGTGCCCCATTACAGTACTGCTGTAGTTGCCCATATTGTTTCCTTTGTGGACCTTTTCACTCACAGCAAGTATAGTGTTCCATGGGGTTTGGTATTTGGACTCAGTTTTATACATATATATATATATATATAATTTACTTATGTGATCTAAATTTAAATTGCAAAATTACTATGTTTGTTTATGGTACAACATTTAACATTTTGCTCTGTTAATATAGAGGAACTAAAATTTCAAATTGACAAGGACTTGCCAACATGTTTTAAAACATGTATATTCATAACAATGGGTGTATTAAATAATAATTCTAAATGTTTGCATATTCAAAGAGTGGCTGTTATAAAATACCCAGACTTACAAATTGATAAAATATTTAAGCTGAAAACAGCATGTTAAGAATTTGGCAAAAACACCAAGATTTATGTTAATTTAAATCTCTCATTTGAAAAAAATGATTTGTTATTAAGCACAAAGATACACAATGTGTTATGCCGACCACAGATATCAAAACCTGATTTTTAGTATTATGAATCTTCATATTTGCTGCTGAAACACTGGGAGCTGAAACATTGTTAGGCTTCCAAATCTTAAATATTCCTTATTGATATAGTCAGTAATTCAGTATGGAACTTTCATATGGGGAGGAACTTATCTACCTACACTAAAGCCAGTTGTTTCATTACAGAATAATACACTACACACAAAAATTAAAGGATAGTAAGGTTTGTTTAAATGTCTACATTTTTAGATTATCAGTTGTTTTCCAAATTTAGCATACTTATTGTAGAGGATTACACTAATCCTACTTAGGGTTTGCAAGTTTTATGTATCAATGATTCCTTATGTAATAGACGTTTATGAGTATGAACCTAAATTCTGCAAAGCGAAAGGCTAATTTTGATTGATTGATTTGGAAAGATGTTTACAGTTCAGATAATGCTAGGTTTATGGATTTTTTTTTTGTTGGTAAAGAGTGTGCAAACTTTTATAAACCAATTAACTGAAACTGAAGTTTGCAGAGTTGCCACACTGCCTCTGGAGGGCCACACCCAGACTGAGGTGGCACAGGTCATGATAGTGTTACAACTGTGGTCATTAGATTGTGTTATACATACCAGGCCACAGGAAAAGATATCAAGAAGCCAGACCAGACCAGGGTCACAGAAGTAGACAACCGATAGCTGCAGATTTTAGCCTTACAAATCACACCAGCAGCATTAGGGGCCTCAGGAACAAGCTTCAGCAAGCTACTGGAGTGTGTGTATCATGGCCAAAGGTCAGGAACAGGCTCCATGAGGCTGGGCTTTATTGAAGGATACCAGTTAAAATCCCTATACTTAACCTCAAGGCACCAAACAGCCTGGCTGGCATTTGTCCTGGAGCATGTCACTTGGATCCTTCAGCAATAAACCCCTGTACTCCTCATAGATGAGAGCAAGTTCTGTGTAATTTCCAGTGATTGTTGTGTGAGGGTCTGTAGACTTGAAGGAGAGTGATATTTGGCATGTAATATTGTACACCATGATGCCTTTGGGGGGTAGTTCAATCATGGTCTGCATGCAGGAGTGTACAGAACTCTAGGTGGTGGGTGGTAGTTCCTTGAAAGCAAGATGTTGCAAGGATGAGATCATGCTGACCTTTTGCTGGTGCTGTTGGACATGAGTTTGTGTATCAGCAGCATAACACATGTCCTCACACTGCCAGGATCATGCAACAGTTTTATTAGGATGAAGGAATAGAGGTACTAGACTGGCCTGCTAAGTCACTGGACCTAAATCCAGTTAAGCATGTGTTGGACTTGCTAGGGAGAACAGTTAGAGACAAACAACCTACTCCTACAACTGTTCAGGACCTCAGAGCTGCTCTCGTCCAGGAGTGGACTGTGCTGCCCCATCAAGTCCTCTGAAATATCATCATCTATGGGGAGCAGGTGCAGAGAACTTGTAAACAATAAAGGAGGACCTATCAGCTACTAAAGGTACATTTTGTCAAGTTTGTTCATTTTAATAAGTTATTTTTTCTTTGATATTTGTACAGCCAAATATTGGCATTTTGTGTTAATTTGTATATGAATTTTTGAACTTGTTTGGTATTATTTACTTCTGATATTTGTAATAAATATTTCCATTGGAATGATTAATAGTGAGCTGGGTAGTGTGTGTATCCTGAGAACTCTCAAACTTTCTGTAAAAAAATATCTTAAGTTGATACATTCATTTTGATTACTTCGTGTGTTAAATAAATATTATTTCACTTGATTTTCTTTGTGTCCAGTCTCTTTTTTTTTCACTCAAGACTAAATCAGAACTCCAGGTTACAGTTTAATTTTGCCTAACATTTTCTGTCAGACTTCTTGTTGTTCAATGGAAACTATCTGATTACTCTAAAGGAAATCAGTGTATCTAAAAATAGCAGGGAAATACGTTGTAGTTTACTTATTTAAACTGATTGTGATCATATTCAGTGAAACAAACTACAGGGGTTTTCTCAGAGATTACAAACGACTGTACATTAGCTGTCATGTCAGCATATATTAAATGAAAATATTAGTGAAACTTTTATGCTTGCTTATGTAGTAGTCCAGTACTTTAATGCTTTTTAACCATGTGGACCATTCAAAGGAACAATGATCTACTGATTAAAAATTCTGACCATGCACTCCAAACCTAGTAGATAGTACAACCTTTGCTATAGTGGGATATTGATATTCTAGGGGAACATCTCCATATACATGAAAGGGTGCAATCATGTTTACATTTGTTGTTTTTGAGTAGAAATTTTGTTGTTATTGTTTAAAATGTTTATTTTGTATTGTCTACACTCTTGCTATCGACATATTTGGGTCTATATTGCACATTAATGAAATTTTCGAAGGAAATGACCTTGAATTGCTTCAGTGTATGTCAACAATACTTCATTCCATACACCTCTAATAAGTATTCTCTGCCAATCGATTTCTGGCTTACAACGCTAAAAATCGAGTTTCGATACCCGCAGTAGACAGAACACTCATAACCCATTGCGTAGTTTTGTGCTTAACAATAAACAAACAATTCTATTTCTGATTTCTTTGCCTGTCGGTGGACTTCTGAAACACCCCGTATAAAAGCAAGGGTTCAATAAACATTCTTTAATGAAAAATGATTTGGCGGATCATGTACAAAATGTTTTAGAACTATTTTTTATTTAATTTCATCTTTAAAAAAGAGAACATTGACTAAATACACCAAGTAGCGAGATGATTTCTAACGTCACAACTAATATACTGTTAAATATATAACATGACACTGATCTTTGTTTCATACAAAACAAACTTTGTACTAATCCTATGAGATATTAGTATTATCAAAAAAAGCATGAAACGAAATACCGTACATTTTTATATATCTTTGGTAATTTAACTTAATATGTCAAGAGAGGTGTTTATTATTATTAACAGTTACGACATCAGCCATCATCAGTAAGAGGAGAGTGAAAGCAGCGCCACCTAGTGTAAGTACCAATGTTGCCGAACGAATAATCACTCCAAACAGTTTAGCCTAGGAATAAAGAACAGAAAGTGGATTATACTTTTTAAGGTTAATATTTAACTTTGAAGAAATGTTTTATTGAAATCGATTCAAGAATAATGTGCGATTGTAATCAAACTGCAGTATAAAACAAGTAATGACATAAGTTGAAAACTATGATTATTACCTATTTTGCATATATATAAAATATTCCTTTTTTGCGTGAAGGTATAAACACTTATATAATGTTATATTCATTGCGTAATCAGCATTTATCAAATATTCCTATTTGGGTAAAGTATAAACACATATATGTTATATTTATTGCCTAATCAGCATTCATAAGATTTTAAACTTTAGTGGAAGTATAAACATATGTTATATTTATTGCCTGATCAGCATTCATAAAATATCTTTTTTTCGCGAAAGTATAAACTTACTATATTTTAAATCTTCGTTAAGCGAACTATGAAAAGATCACTGTAATAATATTACTCTTACAAAAAAACAATAAAAATATAGGCTTCACAAAATATGAAAAAATTTAATTGGTATAGAAAGTGTACTAATGCACATTTATGCAGTAACATTAGGAAAGGGGGTGTATGAGGGTTTCCAGGTAACATTCTTAATCTTGAGTTACAAAATGAAACTATTCTTTAGTTTGTCGTAATATGAGTTTTATTAAATAATGTTATGCACGCACGTGATGTAAAAAAAATATGATTATACAGTTATAGCGTAGCTGCTCATGGTGTTTAACGTTTTCTACATAGTCTACATTCTTCTGATGAAAGCATTAGCATTTTTTGGCTTGAAATAGTAGTATTACGACAGCG